TCCTTCACTTCGAGTATTTCTCTTTGGAACCTCACTATGAAGCTCATTAATGACTCACTTGGTTCCTACCTCATCTTCAGAAGAGCTTACAAGATCTTTTGGGGTTTCTGAGCTCTAGCAAACTATGTTACAAACATTTTCCTAAATTCTAAGAAAGAGGTAATCACTTCCACATGAAGGAGAGTGAACCACCTTGGCGTAAACTACTTGAGGGTTGTGAAGAATTGACAATATTTCAGGAATCATACATGTCTAGGAGGGAGGGCATGGATTAGAAGGTGGTGACATGGTCGACGAAATCATTCTTGCCCATTTAGGACTCTAAATGAGACACTTTGAACTTGGGAGGCGCCTAACTCTGCAATCTCCCTAAGAATGTCTAGCGAGTCCGGGTTCTGCTCTTCTAACTTTCCTAGTCAGCGACTTGTACTTTTCATCACTTTTAATCATGCAAGTGGGATTAAGTATTAGCTTCTAGGTTATTGTTCAGTCATTTGTCAACTATGGTGGACTGTCAAGTCCAATGAATTCTCAGGCATACTATCCCTCCATACTCTCCCTTCGAGCCCGCTCATAGCATCTTGAATCATCTTCATTATCCTCTCCTTCATCCCCATCAAGTCATGACAAGTAGTGTTATTATTGCTCTCCATGTTTACGGATGGCTCAGGGGCACTCTACTCATTAAGGTGTGTTTGTTTTCTCGTCGCTAGCATCAATCCACACTTACAACACCTAAGAGGATGTTGGGTCAAATTTACCCATAGATGACACCCGAACTTACTAGCATGCAAACCCTTGAAGGAATAACCTGGAACCCATATGAGAATGGAGAGAAAGAGAAATATGCTAGAGAGAACTGTAATAAAAGGTGCTTAAAAGCTTAGAATCTCAATCAGTCCAAAAATCTCAAAAGATCCAGAAGTCCCCAAATACTCCTCATCACCTCTTATTTTTAGAGTTTTGAGGACTACAGGAAAGACTATACAAAAAAAAAGTATAACAATCAGACTACTCTAGACACATGAGACTACCCTCGACACATGCCGCCTCCTAGTTGGCTGAGGGAGAGCAAAGGGCTGTAAAGCTCTGATGATCTGTCTCTAGTCACGCTCAGTAATGCAAAGTGTGCACTAGGATGGGTTCAACATCAAAAGGAATAGAAGAGGGTAAAGGTGTAGATAAGTAGCAGTAGAACTAAATGCGAAAAATAATTATTTTTGAGTGCTACAAGTGAAATAATACAAATTTTACCACTGCCTCAGCATTCCAAGTATAGATGACACCACCATTGGGTGGCTGAAGCACCGAAAAGACCTAATTGCTTGTTTTGAAAAAGCAAGAGCCATGATTGGTTGAAAGAGGATATAGAAATAATTTTAGAAGAGTTGTTACTAAATCCGAACATAAAACATCTAGCTGCTAACTATCATAATAGGAAACCATATTTGTTGGTTTTGAATAATATGAAATGATCTTAGTGGCAACTACAGTGGATCTAAACTTCATGGGAAATATGACAGATCTGCACTTTGTGGCAAGCATTGGGAAATTGTTTACAATTAATCTAAATATTAACAAACTGTTTTTAGAATAATTCTTTTACAATTTATCTAAATATAGTGGATTCATGCCGGGTAGGGCGACTATGGAAGCCATATATTTATTAGGAGGTTTAATGGAGAAATATAGAGAAAATAAGGAGGATCTACATATGATATTTATTGATTTAGAAAAAGCATATGATAAAGTTCAAAGAGGAGTGCTATGGAGTTCTTGAAAAGAAAGGAGTTAATAATGCTTATATTCAAATCATTAAAGACATGTATGCAGGAGCTATTACTTGTGTTCAAACACAAGGTGGTTTGACCAAGTATTTTCCTATTTCGGTTGGATTACATCAAAGGATCAGCCTTAAGCCCATATCTTTTTGCTTTAGTCATGGATGTTCTCACTAGACATTTACAAGAGGATGCACCGACACGGACACGGCGACACGGACACGACACGACACGGACACGGGACACGGCAATTTTTTAAAAAATATAGGACACGGCGTGCGGCGTGGACACGGCATAATAATTATTAATATAATATATAAAAATTAAGGTGACATTATAGGTAAAAATGTCAAGCAATAATAAATCAATTCATGATAACTTGTTTAGCTTATAACATAAAAATGTTTAGTACAAAAATGTCTAGTACAAAGTACAAACACAAAAATGATAAGCAAAAATTAATTTAATACAACATTGAAGGTCTAACTACTCAATAGAGGGAATGATAAAATTAGATTCAATTGTTGGTCTTTGGGCCTTCAATATCATCATAATTGAATATCATTGCTTCCAACTCTGGTTCATCTAGAGAAAGATTTGCAACCTCCAATAATCCATATCATCAAGGCACTCGAACCCATCCCAGCAAACATCCACATCTTGTTATCACCTTGTCATATAAAGTGGGGTTTTTCCTTGATAGAAGACGAAGATTTGTACTGTTCCTTAGGACACATTTTTATTTCCATGGCCTGAAATTTAAGTAGATGTGCCTTCACCCTAGAATAAGATTCCTTTGTAAGGTGCCACCACAATAATTGCATTTGAATGACACATTCCCTCCTCCTTCAAATTTTTTTCTAACTTTGTACATGAATCCAATAATGCCTTATCAGTTTTCTACAGATGGCTCTTTTGAACCTTCACCTAATCCCACTTCCGCCAGCAGCCAAGCTCATTTTGCTAACAAACCAATCATGCATATGAATACATCGAATTAAATTGATATAAAGTGAATAAAAAAATCACAACATGAATAAAACAATATACCGGTCTGCCGGGGGTCCAAGGGGGTGCTGCCCCCTGGCGGGGTTCGACTTGCCGGTTAGGTCGCGGGGTCAAGGGGTATGTGAAGTTCTGTTTGTTTTTAAAGTTCGTAAGTTGTTTGTATGTGAAGATACCGAGTGGTATCGAGCATGTACCTAGCAGTATCGAGCATATACTACAGTACCGAGCATGTACCTAGTAATACCGAGCAGTACGAGCATGTACCTACCAGTACCGAGCATGTACCTACCAGTACCGAGCATGTACCTACCGTACCTGAGCATGTACCTACAGTACCGAGCATGTACCTACCAATACCGAGCATGTACCTACCAGTCCGAGCATGTACCGACCAGTACCGAGCATGTACCTTACCAGTAAATAAACCGAGCAGTACCGAGCATGTACTGAGCGGTACCGAGCATGTACCTAGCGGTACCGAGCCTGTACCTTAGGTTTTTCAACAATGAAGAGAAGAAATGGAGAAATCCACTTACAGGTCTTGGCTCTCTTGCGTGCAGAAGGTGCTCTGTTTGGCCTTGATTGCGAACTTTCCCTCGAATGACAGCAGAAATAATGCAAGAATGAAGGAATGAGAAAGACGAGCTCTTCTTGGCCGAGCAGAAATGACGAAGGAACGAGAGGAGAAGGCAGCGGGCTCCGTTTGGCGTCGACTGCGAGCTCTCCCAGTCCGCCCTAGAAGATTTCTTTCATGGATCGAAAAAATAGGGCTTCTCGTTCGCGGAAAAGGCTAAATAGAACTAACGATTTTATCATTTAATAACCGGACACGCGTGTCGCGTGTCTGATTTAAATTTTAATGTTTTAAATTCCGACACTCCAATGCCGTGTCGGACACGTGTCCATGCCGTGTCCGATGCGTGTCCGACACGTGTCCGACACTGCATACCCTCTTTAAGAGGCGTGTCGGTGCATCATAGGGTTGTACCTTGGTGTATGCTTTTTGCTGATGATATTCTTCTTGTTGATAAGACTAGAGAGGGAGTTGAAGGTAAACTTGAATTATGAAGGTCAACCTTAGAGTCTAAAGGTTTTCGCTTGAGTAGATCTAAAATGGAATATATGGAGTGTAATTTTAGTAGTAATAGACCAAGTGAGGGCATTGTGACTTTGGGCAATCAAGTTATTAATAAGAGTATACGTTTTAGATATATGGGATCTATGTTTCGGAGTGATGGTGATATAGATGTGGATATTATTAGTAGAATTCAAGTTGGATGGTTGAAGTGGAGGAATGCATCAGGCTTGTTGTGTAAAAGAAAAGTACGTACCCCTCAAACTTAAGAAAAAATTTTATAAGATGGTGGTGAGGCATGCAATGATTTATGATGCCGAATGTTGGCCATTAAAAGAGAAGCATAAAACTAAGTTAAGTGTGACAGATATGAGGATGCTCAGGTGGATGAGTGGCTTTACTCTTAGAGATAGGATACAAAATGACTATATACGTGAAAAGGTTGGAGTAGCTCCAGTAGAAGATAAGATTCGAGAGAGTCGCCTTAGATGGTTTGGTCAGATAAAACAGCGGCCTTCCAATGACCCGATTAGGAAAGTAGAGGTATTAGATTTGATTTATGCTAAGAAAGGTAGAGGCAAACCTAAAAAGACTTGGTTAGAAAATATTAGGAATGACCTTTCTTTATCAGTTTTAAACGAGAATTTGACTTTTAATAGGACACAATGGAGAAAAATAATTCTGGTAGCCGACCCCACCTAGTGGGATAAAGGCTTGATGTTGTTGTTCTTTTGCTTGAACTTTAGAGAAATCCTAACTTTGTAAAGTTTTTAAATTTATTAAGAAGATTTCATAAAGCCATCCTCAAAAAGGCAGGATAAGGCAAATGATGTATGATGACCGCAGGGAAAAAAAATTCAAGTCCAGTAATAATTTTTAGAACTGCATAGTAGCACCTCTAATTCTTATACTTATAGGGGCATCTATGTCCAATAATCCAATTCATCTACAAGATTAGTAAACTCTCACTAAATTTAAAAAAAATCCACTCTTAGAGAGCTATAACAAGTGATATTTAATTAACTAGGTAATTGCTTTTTGAATCCTTGTGATAGCTGCCTCTCACAAAATATAAGTACAAACATGCAGCTTTTTCAGGATCGCAATAGGGAAAATGGTTATGTATTTAAATTTACCTCTATTGTTGAAAGTTCTGGAGAAACGTATGTCCAAACGAAGTTCCCCAACAAAGATTCTTCAGGGGTTGCATTCTCATCCCTCATATGGCCAAGTCTAAAACGCAGAATTTCTAGAGGTGAACTTATGGGTTCACAAAAGTCGAACACTGCTAAAAAATAAAACACAATTAGATGCAACAAAACGTAACATTCCAAGTAAAGTTATGTAAATAAACATAAAACTAGAAAACTGACCTTCCGGTAGTTGCATTTTTATCTCATGAACAACACAAAACTTGCAACTCAACCTGAAATTTAGTAAGGACTTTCCCTTGCTAAACCGATAAGAAGAGAACATATACAGACCTAGAGTATTTCGCAACATATTCTCAATCCTATCAGTAGAGGGGGAAACATAAATCGATTCCATAGTAATTTCTGTTAAAAACCTGGGTGAAACAATGCGGTGACCTAAATAAGCAAAAATTCTGTGCTCGCTTTCCAGCGTCTGCCAATGGTCAGAGCAGTTAGGTCCAACTTTTATTGTATCTGACCAACCGCCTACTTCAATCGAACGTACAAAACATGATACCTCTGGAGTCGTTCTTAAGCATAACTTTTTGCAAAAGCCATTTGTAATAACTGCAAAACAAAGAAAGGTTGTTCAGCAAGTTTGCTAAATCTATAAATAAAGGTCTCCTATATTCTATTAGTACGGTGGTATAGAAAGAAGAGGCAAAAAATGTGCAATAGTAGTGACCGATCTATAGAAAGAAGAACAGATGTGTGCATTTGGAAGTGTATGCCATCACCAGCCAATTTATTCCAGTAATTTCTATTTCAATAATAATGTTGTAATTTTTATTGCTGCCTACAATTATTGGAATATGCAACTGAATGTAATGAAGCAAGCAGAGGCAAAAAAAGAAATGGAACGAGGGATAAAGAGGGACAGGAGAAGAAAATATTTGTTATGACACTTGGGAAGGGTTGGGGGGGGGGAGGTAATAGTAGTAGCGTAAATTCAACTTCTATTTTTTCATGACAAATAGGTAGCAATTTTAGAACTTATGAAACTGGAGATGAGTACTGAACACTATAGATTAACCTATTCCTACATATCAATAATATTAATAGCATAATATATAACAATCTTAGTTATAAACTCCAATACAATCTCAAGTTTAAGCTCAATAATAATCTCAAGCACAACCTCAAATACAGGTTACAAAATAGCCCAATTATTAGATCGGTCACTATTATCCAACTCATTTGTCAAACACAAATCATCACAATTGCAATCCTCTTAGACCACCTCAATACCGATTAAGTTTTTCAATTGGTGGACAAGACAATGGTGCTTGAACTTCTAGAATTAACACAGGCTTTTGAATCTTCGGAGTTTAAAAAATGGGTACTTGATATGATCTCTCATCATATTAAAATGGCTCAGATGGATTAGACAATCAAGCACAAAGACTTCATATGATTTATACAAATAAAAGTTTTCATTCGCTAATTTGTCCCAAGTTAGCACGTTAAGATGTATAAGATGATCTATTAGAATAATAATAATAATAAGGATTCATCATTTGCATCAACATTATTATTTCTGGAAGTCGCATTATGTTCATTTGATACTTATGATGATGAAGATAATCATAGTTGTAATATGACTCATTGCAATCATAAAATCAATTGTGCTTACTCATTGAAATCAAGAAATTGATGAGAATGAGAGATGATAATATGTTTCATCTAAAGATGATCTAGAATCATATGCATGATAGTTTTAATATTTATGATACTTTTGATATTGATGAAACTATGGCAATTTAAGATACATTGACTTCAGATGAGTCATAAAATTTTTAAACTTCATCTGGTGTGCATAAAAATGCTAATATTTCTACCATGCATAAACTATGCATTCTTCACAAAACAAGCTTTTTTATGATACTATGATAATCAATAAAGTAATTCATAGAGATTAAAGCTATGGTTAAAGTCAAGATTAAGCTACAGCAAGGCTCCGGGTTCTTTTTTTTTATTATTGAAATTTGGTGATGGCATAGGATAAGGGAAGGAATGAATATTGGCAATGGTATAGATGCAAGTACACCCAAGAAATTTGTCTCTAATATTATTGTGTAGAAAAAAGTGCTCTTGAAGCTGATGATGGACATTTGTTGATGATCAACTTACTTCATCTTCCTTAATATAACTTTGAATGGATTTATCATTCCTCGAATTCAACCCTAGAAATAGATGAAATTGAATTAGGCTTGTAGATAGAAATGTTTAGGGAGAAAATAGTGGGAATGTTTTTGTAAAAGAGGGATTCCCAAGGACGTGTGCTACAATTTTGGAATTTTCATTGGACGGTCCTGTGAATAAAGCTTTAATGATAGGAGAAAAAAAGAGAACCTTGAGAACCACGAGGGAGAGAAAACAATTTCGTTTTTTTTTTGAGAGAGAGGAGATGAGAGTACATAGAGGAGAGGACAACATTTTCAAAATTTATCCATAATTGATAATAAAAGTTAAACAACTAAATCGCTTTCTTATAGAAATAAGGTTACAAGATAAAATCACTCAGGACAATTTATCGGATTATCATATTCTTGATTAATTTTATCGGATATGAAGAAATCTTTGTCATTATGAAAAAATTATCATTTTTTACTTTGTTTTCTTGACAAAAGAAAATGAACAGTTATAATTTTATTAGTTTTGATAGCCTATCAATGATTTGGAGATCTCTCAAAAAATTAATTTATTCTTAATTTATTTTCATGGTTATTAACGGTAATTGATTGAAAGTTTAGCACGGGCTCTTTTCCTTATGATCAGAAACTAAGGAAGAAAAAATGTTCAACTAATCCAATTCCGATAATAACAAAATTCAGCCTGATTTAAAATTCAATTTAGATAAGTTCTTAAATCCATCCTAAAATTAAAAACATATATAGCTAAAACTAATATCACAAAAATAACAAAAATACTAAAATAATCTATATGGCATCTTGATGCATCTCTTGCATTGCATCATTTAACTCTACTCTCTGAATCACTCAAAGGAAAAAGGAAACTTCACACAACCTTGATATAGCTTACTAGATTTCAGGGCAGCATGAGAAATTTTGAAATCATTCATTAAACCTTCAGAAATAATTCCAAGAAATCTTTAAATAAAGTTCTAAAGTAAAGTGAATTACATATCCTAGATAAGGCAGCAAATGGCACCTCAGTCCTAAAATGTCAAATGCATGACAAAACTTATTAACTATATTATAAAAGAAGGAAGTGTGGCTGCACCTAAGATTGTAAGCCGACTTCAAAATAGTCACTGTAACCGTCTTCGACTCATACTCCAACTAATTAGTTTACTCAATGTTTACATCGCCATTTTTGTCCTTCATAAAATATCAATATGATATCAAAGATGAGAAGGGCATCATCAAATAATTTTGATCGCATTGTACAACTTTAAGTTTTGATTTTTTTTTTTAGTTTTAGTTCCACTTAATTATTTAGTAGTCTAAAGCATATTTTAAGACATGAAATGATGATGATTATCTAACTTGGGTTCAAGTCGCAATACACATGAAAGAATTTTAATGAACTTTCATTCCAAATCTCTTACTTAAGTTGAAATTCTTGAATTTTGCTCAAAACTTCACTAGAAAACTTTGCACTTCGGCCAAAACTTCTAAAACTAGCTAAAACTAATGAAAAATTAATGAGTTTCAGAAGAATTTTAAATGAAACAGATATAAAATCACCTAAACATAAAATCACGATCAAAACTAGAACTATTCACTAGGGCAGAATATATAGGAAGAGATGGAAAGAGTTGAAGAAAAAAAGAGCAGGAGATAAAATCTCAATGAGAGAGATGAAAATGAAGGGGAAAAAAAAAGGCAAGCTGCATAAGTTTCATTAAAAAATAAAACATAACGTAAAGGAGTACTGAAGTCAACAGCTAGAGGAAAAATGGAGGAAAACAAGAAGAGAGATAAAGGAAAAAAAAGAAAAAAACCAACATAGAAAAGTGTTTAAGGTAGACCATTGGAGGAAGAAACCCTATAAAAATTTCTAGATAGAGGGATTTCAGATGTCTAGAAAGGGTCAACAAAAAAAAAATATTTTATCTTCAGCCTTATGCTTGTCAAAATAATTAAAGCAGAATGGATATAAAGGAAGAGATACCTTACACCAAGAAACCCAAGAGGTTAAGATTTAACAACAATGATTAAAAAAGGAAGAAAAAGAACTAACATACTTTTGTACAAATAGCATAAATGAAGGAGTCTTTCATCATCATCATTCTTGAATCTTTTCCCCCATTTACAATATTGCAAATCTTTATTTTGGCAATACTTGCTCAGTTTTTGAATGCTAATTTTCTTTTACATGTCGCTCAAATGGGGAAAAGATTCAAGAAAGAAGGAAGATGGAAATAAGAAAATAACTCATGTTTAGGGGATTTAAGAAATGACCTAAACTCCTAGTTATATTAACTTTTAGTCATGAATCTTGATGCGTTTTAACTAAATGAAAAATGTTCTCCTTCCAAATTATTGCTCGTGTTACCCAAAGATCTATATTCTCTTATAACAAGGAAAACACTCCTTTGGTTGGTAGGCAACTGTATATTTTAGACCACTTTTGGATCAGACTTCGCCACTGAATCAGACTTTGGGAGAAGATTACAACTCTATTTCTCTTGAGTTGGGCTCTTTATTGGCATTCCTGAAGCACGCCCCTGAAAAGTGAAATGATATAGAACTTGATTTTGGGGCATCCCTGATGGATGGAGTGCTGGATCAGACTGCACGGCATCAACTAGATCATATTAATTGAAGTGCCTCCTCTCCATTGGCATTCCGTAACCAACAGATTGCTGAAGTTATTGATGAGAGAGTTGCATTCTAAGGATGATGCATTAATTACTGTTCAATTGGAGACAAAAGAAACACCAATTGATTCTAGGACAATATATTTTCATAGGAAGGAAACATCAATGTCGAACTGTAGATGTTGGCATGAATTCAACAGTAATAGGACCTATCTTGATGGATGGACCAGCTGATAAAGATATGCAGTGGACTTTTAGCGAACATAACATTAAAGATATATTGCTTCAGTTGGGCTACAAAATTTGGGTTCGAATATTGCTAGTAATAGCACCTCTTGTACAAAAGATTAGGATGGAAATTTCGAGGTTGGTTTAACTGCCAAGTAGAAAGTAAAAAAAGTGTGAAATGTGAGCCCACCTTAAAAGAAAATAGGGTGCATGCCTACACTAAGGTTACCAAGAACTCTTCAAATCAGAAGTTGATGCCTAATTTAGAATCATTTATCATAGAGGAAAAAGAGGGTTCAGGTGGCTATGGCACTGTCTACAAAGCTAAACGGAAAGATGACAGAAAATATTTGTTGTTAAATTGCATATGAAGATTACAAGAATCTTCTTCCGGTAGCCAATAGTCTTGAGGAGATCTATTCAAAGAGTCATTTGTATCAATCTATTGCAATTTTCTTTTTGAAGTTTGAACTTTTTTGTTGAACTGACCGTTTACTCGGGCCCATCAACTTTGCAGCAACACCACGAGAAATGTCTCATTTGACTCAAATGC